GCAGAGTTTGGGATTTGATCCTTAACTCGTCAAACTCGGCTTTCATAGAATCAAAGTCTGCCTGTAACTTGGAGCTCGCTTTAGTGTTAGACGTAAAAGCAGCAATCTCCTTCTCCAGCCCGGAGATTCGGGACTTCAGCTCTATTTTTTCAGATTCCAGGCTCTTAATTCTCTCCTTGGCTTCAACATGGTCGTGCCCTATGTTAAGCAGGCTTTCCTGCATGTTTTCAATCTCCTCCTTAAGGTCTTCCTCGGTTTTCCGCTGTTTCGATAGACGCTCGATTTGAGTATCCTTCTGGGAGATCTCATCTCTCAACTTTGAGACTTCGATTTCGAGAGCCTCCATCCCTGGACTCTCGAGGACAGATGGCTGAACATGATCTGACGTTTCGTTTGCAGCAACTTCCGAGGTGTCGGCGGAAGCACCGCCTTTCTTCTTCTTCTTATTCTTCTTCTTTGATCCGCCAGCTGTAGGTGCAGGAACTCCTAGCAGGTTTGATGTGGGCGAACGAGGTTGGACGGTAGATTGTATTTGTTTGTTCAGCTGCCCAATCTTCTCATCGCTTTCAGCTCTTGCCTTCTTCAGCGAGTCAATTTCGCTAGTTAGGTCTCGGATTTTCATCTCTAACTGGGATTTTGCTTCATTCAGCTTTTGGAACTCCTCATCAGACTCTGTATTCCTAGTATTAGAAGCCTGAAGAATCGTGTCCTTCTCCTTTATCGTAGATGCTGCCCTCGATTTTTCGTCCTCGAGGTTGACTTCTAAGCTTCGCAACGCTGATCGAGTCTGCTCGAGCTTTTCAGTTAGTGCGCTAATCTCTGCGTTCTTTGCGTCTAGTTGTGTCTGCATGGATTCCCGAGTAGCAACATCATCCCGAGTATCGCTTAATTCCCGCGTAGCCTTTTCGAGACTTTCTACCAAACCAGTACTATTCTCTTTAGCTACTGTTAGCTCTTCCTTTAGATTACTGATCTCAGACGTAAGCTTGGCGATCTCCTCAGACTTCGACGCGACCTCGGCTTGAAGTTGAGGGATTTCCTCGTCGTAGGAAAACATATCCTCGCTCAAATCCTTAGATTCCTCGATAGCTACAGGTTTTTGCCTTGGCGAAAAGACACCCAAGATGGATGATACAGGCGACTTGCTCGCAGAAGGCGACGTAGCTTGTTTCGTATCCTCGGTAACCCTTTTGTCTTCTGACGTACTTCCTGCCTGGTTATCTGTCCGTATTGGTACCTCTTCGACCTTGGCGGCTTTGAGAGTAACAACTTCTTCTCTAAGGGTGCTCAATTCCTTGTCAGCTTCTTCAAACTTCTTTTTAAAGCTATCCTTCTCGGCCGAGACACGCTTGAACTCCTCCATGACCATATCACCCTTCAGGTTTAACTGGTTCAGGTACTCAACGAGGGCTTCTGGGTCTTTGATGGTAGTCAAGGGCGTATTCTCGCGTAAGGCCCGTTCAAATGGTTCGATAGACGTGGCCCGTCCATGTGCGATTCTATACGACCGTAACAGTTCTACAGGATTAGCAAAATCCATTATTCGCTAGATTAGCACTATGATTTACCTGGATATGTAGCTTCTAGCTTCTCGAGTTTCCTAAGCTTGCTCCTTACGTGAGGAGGGAGTTCTGCCGGTGCAGTGGGTAGGCTTGCTTTGGGATTATCATCTTCTCCACTGCCAACATGGTCTTTTGTCTCGCCATTTCGCTCGGTCGCGCTGTCATCCTTTTCATTGCCCGATGAAGTCCCCCCTACCGTCTTCTCTGGCGCTGCCGGCTGGGCAGGAGCATCTTCAATATCATCGTCGTCAAGTACGAAGGCGGCCTCAAAAACAGCGGGGTCGGTGTTCGCGGCGCCGTCGCCATTCGAATTATCTTGGCTCGGCTTCTTGGTCTTCCTTCTAGCGGAAGAGTTGGTGCTATTTGTTCTCGAAACCGATCGCGGGCGTTGACCAGGGGCAGAAGGAGAACTGGTAGTAGATCTTTGCTCGGTGAGTGCTTTCTGACGAGCTTGCTCTTCGGCGATGCTGCGGTCAATAGCGCCTTTTATTCTCTATATACATATATATCGCACAGTCAGAAGCTACGTCGCTTCAAGTTTGGGTATTAGACTGTATTAACCAAGTAAACGTACAGAGAACATGGTGGCTCGACGAACCGCCTTCTTTTAAGGCGCCGGCGATAAATGCGACAATTGGGTACAACTCGAGATTGTAGCCATGCGCGTTTGCGATAATAAACGATCTTTAAAGAGTGATAGGGAAATGAAGCATGGACAGTGGTACTAGTATTGGTACTGATACTGGTACTGGTACTAAACACAATGACGCCTAAAAAAAAAAAGAAAGGAAGGTAAAGATGTATTTCCAGTCTGTCTCCAAAACTGCGACCAAGCGTTGGTTGGCCGAACTGAACGAGGCTCAGCTGTGTACGGATTACCTTAGGTACACCCTGATATGTATCCGTATTAGGTACCCCATACATGTACATACATAGGTGCCACATGCAGAGGTAAAGACACGTACACTTAATGTTACATCTACCTGGTTTGGTACATAATATGTGTACTTAACTACATAGTTACATGCACATAGATACCTGTACGACCTCGATAGCTCCAGAGCGACCAATGAATTTTATTCTTGTCGCTTTCCCTAATTGCTTCGCGGTTCACCTGTAATGTCGTCACATCTGTCATCAGGTCGCAACACTTTCCTTGCCTAATATCAGTCCCTATAAGTACCTACTTAAGTTTATACTTAAACACAGAATTCTGGCCGTCGCCTTATATTTCCTATATTTCTTATATTCTCGATTCCTTTCTTACACGACCGGCCCGGACGCCATGGTCTCTCGACGGTAAACCCCGTCTTTATTTCTAAGTCATGGTGTCTTTTTGGCCTTGGAAGGTTAGTGGGGGGAAAACATCGTCCCAACCCGACGATTTCTTCATCTTCCATACCTATGATTCCCATGTCTGTTAATATAAAGGAATGAAGGAATAAAACTAACTATTTATTCTTACGAGCAGGGCGATGTCTCTTCCCCGTCCTCTTTCGAGAAGACCCTCTCGACTCTTTCCAACAAGATCACAACCACCCAAACCCAACTTGACCGAGCGCGGTCCCGTGCCCGTCGCATCAAAGTTCTCTGGACTCTCTATCTAGCCTTCGCTTACCTTGTTTACGCTGTTGTTTTGACCTTAGTGGTCGGATGGCAGAATCTAGGTCCGTGGGAATGGACTGGAATGGCCGGCGGCCCCGTGTTGTATGTTGTCACTATAACTGTTCTTTGTTTGATATCAAACATCTTGCTTACAATGAACTTCACAAATCAGCATTTATCTCGTCAGGACCCTTACCAATGCCTACTTCAGCTTTCGCATCGACACACTCGAGTCTCGTCTCAAAGACCACCAAACCGAACGCGCCAGGACGATACAAAAGCTGAAAGATGCTACCAAATACGACTCCACCCTAGAGTTGCTGGAGAAGTATGGAGGTTCTGGAGAGAAGCGTGTCCAGCCTAGAAAACAGACGATAGAAGGCGAAAACCTCGACAGCGAGCAGAGAAAGGGGGGCAATAAGAAACCACGACAAGGTGCAGGTTCCGATATTCCCAGCCCGAGAGTCAACATTCCCCCCCCACCAACCGCCAACATTCAAAGACCACCTCAGCCTCCTATTCTGGGAGCCTTGGAGTCTCGCCCGGGCTCTTCTCGTATACCCAACCATCACGCACCACACCCAGACCAGCTATCTATGGAAGAATTCGCACCTAATGCCGGCCCACTTGCGCCAACGTATTCCCATTATGACATTAATACAGGTTCACACCACTGGTATGACCGCATCATGGACCTCATGCTCGGTGAAGATGAGATGGCACCCAAAAACCGCATCGTATTAATATGTAAAAATTGTCGCCTAGTGAACGGACAAGCGCCTCCGGGAACGCAGTCCTTGTCGGAGTTGGGCCGATGGAAATGTATGTCCTGCGGAGCATCAAATGGAGAAATGGATGAGGGTAAGAAGATCATTCGAGAGGTTCTCAGATCAAACGAACCAAGTACTGCACTGGGAGGCGAGGACCGCGATAGTGATCTATCAAGCGACTTGGTTAAAGGCGAGAATGACAGCGAAGATGCTGGAGATACGGATGGAGGAGAGGCGTCCATTGCCACGCAGCAATCGGTCCAGAGGCATCGCACCAAAAAATCACAAATGGTTCCATAAAACTAAATTTTCAATGCGATCAAATATACTATTCGTCAATCTACCATTCCATACCCATCCACTAGGTGAGGTCTCGATACGGTATCTCTGTATCAGGAAGCAAGGACAAGACTTGCATAATAGAAAGGTATAGGAGTCTTTATCCATGTACATATAGGGAGCTAGAGGTCTTCGGTATTCAGTATTCAGTATTCAGGGGGGGGATTATATTGTTAAGTAAAGAATTTATATATTTGCTATACGTACGGCAATGTTTATAAGCGCTAACGTAGTCCTAGGATTGATCAGGCAATGTGAGGATAGTACTATCAAACATATTCTGTCACCTGGGTATCCAGCGCCGTTGTTCTACCAGGATGACCCTCCGAAGGCGGGGTTATCGTCTTTTCAATGATCTTTTGGATGGGACATATAGTTGTTCTATAACCCATTATTACTTGAACCGCACACGCAGTCGGCGTTTGGCATCGTCTACGAGCTGCACGATGCAGGATATATGTGGAGGTAGCTCGGCAGGCTTGATTATCCCCGCATATTCATCCCAGCTCCGCCCTTTTCAGATATGCCCTACCCCGGTGTAAGCTCACACTCACGGTGATAGTTTTCACTACTACCTTCTATGTTAAGGAAAGCCAGATTTTCGTACTGAAAACCTATTATTGTCCCTACAACGCACGTGTCCATCAACTAAGCATTTTAGCAACCTACTCCAAGACGACTCTCCGGAGCAATACGTCTTTCTAGGAAGGTCACTAATGTTATTCGAGTAAGTCTACATTGATATATTGTTGCTTGGTGAGTCTTCTGCGGCCGCTCGAGGTGTATATAAGATACGAGGTTCCCACCTGATCTTAATTGCCTTTGTGAGAGTGTCCAAAGGCTTTGCTCTTATAAATATCGAACAAGTCAGATTGTAGTCTTAAGGCTTAACCATAGTTTTCAACTATGAGGCTTTCGCTTTCTCTTCTCTTTGTCACGCTGGTGACTTCCTCAGTTGCTAGTCCCTTAGTATTAGATTATTCCGAAAGCACCATTCAGAAACTTAAAGGTCGTCGGTCTGCAGCTATAAAAGCGAGTACACAAAAGCGACAATCAGCTGGAACTACGGCGAATGAATTTCTTGAGGGCGAGTGCCGGGATGTCATATTCATCTACGCCCGTGGCAGCACCCAGGATGGTAATATTGTAAGTCACTTTTCCAGTTTAGCTGCGAGACATATATTTGTTAACCATTTGGCACATCTTAACAGGGAGAGGACCCAGGTCCGCAAACTATAGATCAACTCAAAGCTGCATTGGGTACAAATGCCATAGCAGCTCAGGGGGTCGACTACCCAGCACTGTTAATCGACAATCTGAGATCAGGGGGTTGCGACCCCGAGGATGCTGACAATATGCGAGCGTTGATAACGCAAGCGGCAACTCAGTGTCCGTCGTCGAAACTAGTAGTGTCGGGTTATAGCCAAGGGGCTGCACTTGTTCACCGATCGATTGAATCTGCATCAACTTCTGTTAAGAATCAGATCTACGCGGCGGTGACTTATGGCGACACCCAGAAAGCGCAGGTGCGTAACCCTCGGGAGTCTCTTACATTGTGTTAGGAAGTAGTCCTTCCTCAGCAAAGTAAAGATGGAATCAGTTTTCCCATCATCTACCCAGACCCCTCAGTCAACCCAGAGTATACAGATTGTAACCGTTGCTACTACAGGACGGCGGGAAAATCCCGAATTTCGACGCGAGCAAGACCCTAATCCTATGCCACGACGGTGACGAGGTTTGTAAAGGTACATTAATTGTAACCGACGCTCACCACGAGTACCACGATCTTGCCCCCGATGCAGTGGATTTCATTGTTAGCAAGGTTTAGCGATGTCGACTTTATTTTATTTTGGTTAAAAATTCATTTGTATGATGATCGAAGCAGACGAGCCTTCAACCTGCCTGAGTGGATACGCCCTCCAGTGCGTACTTCTAGGTATGATTAGAGGATTGGGGTGGAGATGTAAGGAGAGTATTGTAGTAAGCCTAGATCCATACGTTAGGTAATAGAGATTCACAATAGAGATTCATACCTTTACATGTCGGATTCTCGTGATGTACTTGGATCAATTATGCCAACCAACCCGTTAATCATTAGTCGTTCTAATTCGATTATAATTATGAACGTATATTAAAACTTAACGAATAGGCTAATACCTAACCGTAGTATAGGTTTAATTACTTGAAGCATATGCTTAATATTTGAGATAGATGTAGATCGGCTTTTATGATCGCTCACATATGACAGTAGGTTTCGTTGGACGCTCACTGGATATTGCTTATTGAACTAGCCGTTAAACTACATTAGGAAGTGTAATAGCTGGCCAAGATATCTGATGCCCCACCAGTATAAAATTCTATACCTACATATTCTTGAACAAAGTTTAGTAGGGGTAGAGTGAATCGTGGATTATGGACAAAACGATGGTTGGACCATGATCCTACAAAGCAAGCGGATCGTCAGCCGCTTCCGAATAGCAAGATATAGGTAGTGTCTAATCTCACTGCCGTAGGATCTGACCGGCACCGGATGAGGTTCCTCGAAAAGAATATTCCTTGATTTTTTCATAGGTATGTGTCTTATGCAAGATGGATCCTAAGATTGAGCTTACAATAGGGGACATGCCGCGTTTTGCTTTACTATGTACCCACTTTGCCACTTGATAGCCCTGTCTTCCCATGTTCGAGAAGGCGAACCGATGTAACTCTAGGTCGTCAACGCGCAGGCATCAATACCGATTACAGTCAACTGGGCCGCTTAAGCAGGCCGTCGGGACTCATACTTCGAGACTTAGAGGTAGGTTAGCAAGGAAGGGCGATTCAACTTACACACGGACCCCTTTGAGATCCGGACATAAAGTAAATATATAGATTGGCGCGTATAAGATGTGATTGAATAAGTCAGGGATTGTGAGTGTGAAGCTTTTTGTCGTCTTTGGGCATAACTTTAGGTATAAAATAAGCACGTCTGACGTGGTGAAGGACCTGAGAATCTTCCCAATTTGGTACAATTATTTTCGAAGGATTGAAGTGAGCAGTGGATCTAACGCCTGTCACATCCTGTCACTTGGGTATACAAGGTATAGGGTATGAGGTACGATATGCACCTCGTAAAAGTAGGACCAAACATTCATTGGCATCCCTTCTAATTCCCGCCCTTACTTTACCTTTCATCGAGCGGTATCCTGGGATTTCGTTTATTTTACTCGTCTATTCTTTTCATCGGCAACCCATACTCTATTTTATTTTTCCTTCTTCCATGAATATTTAGAAATTTACTATCTGTTCCTGATTTGATGCTGCCCTTTCGCTTAAGCCACCTCCGATGCTCGATGTAAGGCCCCGGTCCACAGAGACTTCACGGCCGTTTGCCTTCCTAGCGCGCGTTGTCTTAGAGTAGATCATGTCGGAATTCCGCTACTCGACTGACAATTTCGATGAGCCGGAACCTATATCCAACAAGCCAAAGACGATCTGGGGAGTCGTCATATCATGTATGGTATGTCATCTATTATGCAGACATCGCCTTTGCCGATTCGGCTATCCGCCGGATAATCTTAAGTAGATGGAGCTGGTTCTCACATATTGAAAACTCTAGATACTGTCGTGGATATGTGTTTGCCTTCGATTGTACGTACGGTTCAGGATCGTCCACGCCCCAGGCTGGGATGATTTATGCGTAGGACTTTACCTAGTAAGCACCTCTCATTGCACGTCTGGTAAATGGGCATCAGTTAACAATATCCCGCTCGGGAAGCTCACGATCACTGCTGGATCAATAGCAGTATGCTTTGCAGTCACGTACGGGCTTGGCAAGCACTTTTTACAACTTGAGCCGTGGCAGTCCAAGGGTTTCTTACAAACATTTTACGTCGCAAACGCAACATACGTAACATCAACAGCATTGATCAAAGAGGCTCTTCTACTGCAATACCTACGCATTTTCGATCAAGGAGTATTCATTCGCCGGTTTATTATTGCGCTGGTCGTTTTTACGGCGCTCTGGGGGTTTGCATATTCCTTTTTAGCTTGGGTTCCATGCGTGCCTGTCCACGACTTTTGGACCAAAGGAGGTGGCCCAACTTGTTATGGATACGGTTCACAATACGCTAGACCGTTTGCTGCTACATTTGAGAGCCACGCTGCTATCAATATGGTCCTCGATATTGTGGTTCTTATAATACCCTTGCCATTAGTTTTTAAGGATGGTTCGACGGCGAATACGCGTGTGCGGTTAGCTGCGTTGTTTTCTATGGGCGTCTTGTAAGTCTTTCGTTTCGTGCACCCATTCTAGAGACAGTAGCACTTACTCATATTTATAGCGTGCTTGTCTTTGCGATTTGGCGGCTGGTAACTCTTGTCGAGCATAGGGTAGCGACAATCCCAACAAGAGATCCAACGTGGTATGGTCCCATTACCATCGTTCTGGCCGTCTTAGAAGTTGATGCCGCGAGCGTCTGTGCAAGTGTCCCTATTTTCTGGCCTGTGCTTAGGAACTTAGACTGGGGCAAGATCTTCGTGACGCAAGAAGTAGATATCACGAGGGAGACGCGGTACATGGAAGATGACGAAGATCGTTTAACGCACGGGACCACGCATAGCAGAACAGGCAGCGAGACGGACTTGGGGGCTGGTAGCGGAAGAGGATCGAGGAATAAGGAGACGTATTATCAAGATTCGTACGTTTTAAGCCAGGTGGACCCTTTCCGACCATCGATTGAGCGCGTACATGCGAGTGCGAGGAGTGATATAGCGAAGCAAGGTTCGAGAAAATGGATGAAATTATGAGATATGGTTGGTCACATGTTTAATAAAATCATTGGCTACGCGTCTCTTTGATTCTTTTTGCAGTGTTGTCCTTCTCTTTCTCTGCTAGCATCCATCCATCCAAGAGTTGACCCATTCTGAGGACGAGTAGAGCCGTTGAAATATCGTAGGCGCAGAATGGTCTATTTATTAACTGGATCGGTGCTTTGCTTTGCGTTCCGATCCCTCCATAATACTTTCTTTTCCGACTCTTTTTCTGAGCCTTCCCAAGTGCGTCCCTGAAGGTGTCTCAAACACAATCTTTGCCCGCTCTCGGGATAGTAAAGCCAAGTAGCCCACTTAATCCAGTCACCTTGCTTCATCTGGTTTCTCGCCCGCTGTCCGACAGTATCCTCGATGAACGCGCCTCTGGGGATGGAAAGCCTTGTTGGGAAGATGCGAGATAGGTAGTGCTGAGTGGATACGAGATGTGGTTTGTCGTGCCAGAAGAACATTGGAGTTAAAGGGACGCTTACTCCGGATTCCATTATGAAATCACGCTTGATAGACGAAGTAAGCCCCTTTAGCTCGGGAAATCGCGCGACGTGAGCCGAGTCCGCATAGGAAAGAAGGCGTATGGATGGAAGACAAATGTACTTGACTGGTGCACTTTCATCATCTTCAGTCGCCCACATGACATTGAGTAGTGGTTCTATCGGAACATCTGAGATTAGTGGCCAGTCATGTTGTTGCACCCAGACAAAGGGCGTCTCGGTCAGCCTCAGAGCGGATCGTACAGCCAATCCAAACCCCAAGCGTTTCGAGGGCTCTATAAATGTAACCCGTTTATCGACTGTCTGGGCTATTGAAAAAGGGACGAAGTTTGCCTCGACGCCGCTATAACCAAACTCAGCTTTACCTTGGCCGTAGTCGAGTCTTCTCTCCTTATCATTGTGAACGAATTCCCCCAGAATGAGCTCCCTGACTTCTTGCTTATATAGATCAAAGGTTTTGGCTCCTTCTAGAGTAACTTGTCCTTTCTTCAACCTTGCGTGAGGTGCAATACGATCATAAGTATCAAAAACAACTATCACTCGGCAGAATAGCAAGGTTGCGCAATGGCTGCGAAAAGACGATAAGATGGCCGATATGAGTTCTGTAGATGGTGCAGAAGGTGTCGGCGATGTAGTAATGATTACTGTCAATAGGCTAGAGATTGGCTGACCCGACACAGTTGTCGGGGACATTGCGTTGGGTCAAATAAATGTAGGATCAAAGCATCTCTATAGGCCACATAGATATGCAGTGGTTTCCTGGGTATGCGCTACTGGATTTTAGCCGTTGATGTCAGACTTTTAACTACGACTATGGAGAAAGTTATTAAAAAAAGTAGACTCACGAAATCTGACTGGTCCTGACCTGGTACAGAGCAGGTGGTCGTCAGCTGTTACCAGCTGAGGCTGTGTTACCCCTATCCTATCTCAAAGCGTAATATCAACTTCATAATAAATCATTTCGAGGTCTGGCCACTTACTATGAAGCATTCACTCGAATAAATTAAGAGTGAACTACTATTCTTACAGTTAATTCTTGATGTATGGAAACGCTTGTAAATCCGCTTGTAAATCATCAAAATCTAACGCTAGGGGCTCTTGACGCTATTCAGGGGTTGCTTCCTTAAATACAAAGATAGGTATGAAGAAGTAGAGTAAACAAGGCCACATCCTATGAACCACTAGAGTATGGATATTATCATCTTCACGTAGCTCCTTTCCCAGTATGCTAATGTAATCTTCATGTTGCGCTCCTAAAGCCAGTCAATGCTTGTCTTGTTCATATTGGTGTTAACATTGGCATGGCTGACGCTTGTAAAGCCAGCGTCGCGGTGATAGTTGGTAGAAGGATCTGTATATGTAGGCTCGCCATATAGATAGTTGAAACCAATATCGTGTGTGTACGCAAGATCATGATGATAATAGAAAGTACTGGGAGGGATGATGTCAGAATAGCCCATACCAGGATCGTTGGCACCTAGACCATTGAAAACAAGATGGTAAGTATGAGGGTAGTAAGTACCCTGAAAGGGGACACCGGAAGGGTCATCATAGGTAGCTCCCGTGGGGCTTGAGTCAACGTAACCGGCACCAACTATATCATCTTCTGTTGCTCCTATAACAGATGCGCACATGTCAGTGTCACATTCTATCCTGAGAGTATAATAATCTAGAAAATATTCGAGAATACAGGCACATAATTTGACGTTCCCCATAAAGCGTGCCCTCAAGCTCAAATGATCCTTCTGGCCTGAATAGGGACACCAGGATACTTCGGACTCGTGATGCCCTCAGTCCCTATCGGAACATCGAGAGATTCTCCAGAACAACCCTGATTCTAATTTTATTCAAAAGGCTGTGGATATGGACAATACAAGAATAGACAAAATCACTGTTTCATTTGAATCGGTAGATGTGATAATATTGCTTTGTCAATCCACTTGAATGAAATTTGGAAGATTAAGAGAAGAGAAAATACCTAACTTACCATTATTACAGAACCAGGGGAAGAAGGAGTCCTGACTGAGTGAACTTTCGATGGGTTGCTGATGACCATCCATATTATCTACAGGGAAAAGGTAGGGGCTCACCCTTTTGTAGCAATATCGAGTGCCACAACAGCCTGAATAGTTATAGATTAACGGGTTGCGCTCTATTGGGGACTTGGAAAGTGTGGAGAACCTCACGAGATCGTCCATATTGCCGGTCCTCCCTAGCCATCCTCAAACCTGGGGTTATGGGGTAACGGGTCAGCTAACGAGATGAGTGCTTCTTGGCGTCCTTGGGAATCTCAGAGGTCCTTCGGCACTTGCAGGGTTGCCATCCTGATGCACACGTAAATACGACGCCTCGTCTGGTGTATAGGACGCTGTAGCTCTCATCTCAAAAATACGACCGCTTACATACCACCTCGTCTCAGCTTATAGAATGCGCGACGCCATGAAAAGGTAAAGATGACAATCAAGGACGACGACACTATACGCGCCCATTGGCGGTGCTTCGTGGCATGCGGTCTCATGGTCCTATCGCCGTTTCAATATGGTATTGACTTCGGTTTGATAGGAGGTATGCAGGCGATGCCAGGTTTCCTCAAGGTTCGTTAACCCAAACATTATACTTTAGGTATGCTTGAGTGTTGCGTATTCTAACAGCAGTTGGACAGATCTACGGCCATCCAGCTCCGAATACAGCAATCGGCTGGAACATCTCGACGGTGCGGCAACAACTAATTACATCGCTGATGACACTTGACGCCTTCGTCAGCTCTGCTACCGCAGGCTTGGTGGCTGCCAAATTTGGTCGAAAGACCTGTCTGTGGATGGCTTGCCTTGGCTGTGTTATTTCTAACATTATAATGATGACCACGACAGATATCAATGCCCTTTATGTCGGACGGCTACTAAATGGATTAGCGAATGGTTACTTTATGACTTTCTCTCAACTATTTATCCAAGAGAGTAGTCCAGCCAAGTATCGCGGGCTCTTCCTGACCGCGTTCCAGTTTTGCACCTCTTTCGTAAGTCAAACACGCCGCTAGATGGTTGGCAAGTTCTAACCCAGCCTCCTAGGGCACACTAATCGGTACAATCGTGGACTGGGCAACAGCATCACGATCTGATCGATCAGCTTATCTGATTCCTTTAGGACTTATCTACATTGTTCCTCTTTTTTTGACCGTTGGCCTGTTCTTTATACCCGAGTCTCCCCGCTGGCTGATTCTGCAAGATCGAATCGAAGATGGGCACAAATCCCTTAAGTGGCTAAGGCCAACTGGCGCGCAAGTCGACATCGAAGTCGCGGAAATAAAGGCGGCCATCGACAAGGAACGTGAGATGGGTAGCCAGGTCGGCGTGTTAGATATGTTCAAGAATCCCATAGATAGGAGACGTACGATTCTTGCCGTCTGCGGAGTAACCCTACAGGCTGCTACAGGTTCTATGTTTATCATCTGTAAAGTCATCCACCCAAACGCTCATGTTGAAAGTTTCTTACAGTTTTCTCCAGCGTACAAGGCATACTTTTTCACTATGGCCAAGGTAGCCAACCCATTCGCGATGGGTTGCGTTCTCAGCGCAATTGGCCTATTTGCCATCGTCCTCAACTCCTTGATCGTGGTACGGTATGGTCGACGTCGCGTGCTTCTTATGGGTGGTCTTGGAATCTGTGGCATCCTACAGTTAATCGTCGCAGTTGTATACGACCAAAACCCTGGCGCAAAGGCCACAGGTGAAGTTCTTGTAGCGTTATCATGCCTTTATATGATGAGTTACAATGTAAGACCTGAAACTATTTAGCAAACAGGATAAGGATCGAGGCTAACAATGGACTTATAGGGAATGGTCGCGACTTATGCCTGGCTGAGTGGTGGCGAACTTCCGTCACAGCGTCTACGCAGCTATACGTTTGGGTTGGCAGCAGCTGTGGCATTCTTTGCCGCCTGGCTTACTACCTTCACAGCTCCTTGTAAGTTACTGGATACGCATTCCAAAGCACATACCAAAGCCAGTATAGGGGTTCAAAAGCTAATCTTGGATCCTATAGATTTTATCAATCCCGATTCTCTAAACTGGGGCCCGCGATACGGTTATATCTGGTTCCCAAGCTCAGTCGTAGCTGGGGTATGGGTATACTTCTTCCTACCCGAAGTCCAAGGTAAACCAGATTCCTATCAATCAACGAACCGGTTGCTAACAGCAAGGTATAAAGGCCGAACATTGGAAGAGATCGACGAAATGGTAAGTAGAAGACACGAATATTTGAGTCTGTCATGCATTTGACTAATTATATTTTCCATAGTTTGAGGAGAAACTGCCCGCTCGAAAATTCAGGGGATACAAGTGCGTTCGTCGACTTGCTATGGACGGAAAAGTAGGTGCCCAACACGAGGAGTAACGGCATGCCCAAATGTATTTTCGACTATGTAGAAATAAGAAGAATACTTGGTATAGATATTCAAGGTGTGAACTAGGAGGTAGGCGAAGACTCCTGAGTCAACCACCTATACAACGTGTTCTATTTCTAGACATAAGGACTAAACTCTTGGGGCGGTCTTCGACGAGCATAATAAAATATGCTATATCCTCGACCCTCAAAATAACTAACCGAAGTCTTCTGAAATAATCAAGTCCAACGTGGACAGATCAGATTTAATGACCGATTAGATACATCGTCATTATGTATCAAGACCCTATTTTGGTTGAGATGGGAAATAAATGTCTACTACAGTCTTTTTATCATGAGAATGTAGTACGGGCAATGCATCCTACCCAAGCCATAGCCACATAGCTTCGTAGCGATCGGTAAAGTATATATGATTAGGGATTTAAAAGGTATGCATATCAAGGTCTGAGTTGTTGTCACGAAAAGCTATATCCATGTCCTCGTCGTCACTACTAAAGTCTCTATCGGGAGGGATTGGGTTAGCAGTATAAGGAGTATGGAGAAATCGCTCTGGGTGAGACGAATCGTACCGAACTACGAATCTGGGTAGCGGTTCATTGTGTAGGAATGGTGGGATTTTCTTCCGGGGCTTGTTGGTGAGAATGCGCAAACGCGAATATGCTTGACAAGCTGGAGAAGGTTCGGGGTTCGCTTCTAAGCGAGGGCGAGTGGAAGCGTTTTGGAGCTCTTGAAACCGCCCTCCAAGTTTGTTTATAAGTTTTCGTATCTTTGGCCGCACGTCGTCACCGTTGAAAAGTGGTCTCCGAAGAAGAGGCGAGAGATGCTGGAGTGAAATATCAAGCGTGAATGGCAGGCCGGAAGTTTCCGAATTTGCTAGCAACTCCTCGACCGATAGACCCGAGAGAAGCTTACAGGAACGGTCCTTCTCTAACATTGATATTCCATACTCATCAAGCCGTAGAGATTTTAGAGCCGGTGGAACCGGTGTATCAAGGATGTATTTGAATTGCGTTTGACGAAAAGGTCCAAGCTGAAGGTTTGAGAGGGCTGGGAAATTGGAAAGCGAGAGGACTAGAGTCTTCCCATCTCGTGAATATTGGCTGAAACGGTGGATATGAAGGCTTTCGAGACTCTCGGCCTGCTGGCTAATAGCGTGGTTAAATGCATCAGTATCCTCGATGGCGAAGGAGTCACCCATCATCCAACGGTGATAAAACATCTCACAAAGAGTTAGGTTCTGTAGCGCTTTCGGCAATGAGAGAATGGTATGTAGAGCTTTAATGGAAACAACGCATTCGGTAAAGATTAAGGATTTGAGCATAGTTTTGTGTTGAAAATCTTGTAGCTTTTCTACTTCCCAATCAGCTGATTCCTTTTGTCCTATCTTGGCACAGGATATTTCCAAGGACTGTAGTCGAGGAAGTAAGAAGATTGGACACGTCGGCGCTATGTCCCAAAATCTTCTCTCTGTTCCAGTCCAATGGAGCGTAACTGCGTTGGGAAGTAAGCATCATATATATGTGCTATGAGATTACGTTGGGACTTACGAGATCTGAGGCTTTGAAGAGGCCTTGGTGTTTCGAGGGATTCGTTTAGAAGGGAGGCTTGCGTAAATGCTTGTATGTAAGACTCCTTGAAAAGTCCCCAGTGAGTCCCTTTGACGGATCGAGGCTGACATTCGGGACTTTCCGAGACGAATGATTCTAAATTGGGAAATAAGGTGAGGTCCGGAGGATAAGGCGGATTGTAATAAGGGTCATAATGATTAGTGGAATATAGAAGTTTTAGATCTCGTAGGTAGCCTTTTCGACTAGGCTCGTCGGCATGGGTAGCAGCATCCAGAAAGCGATATAGGGACGATAGTGTGGTAAACTCGGCAGTAGAATATAAGTAGATCTCAGCGACTTCGCGGAGATCCTTGCAGGTACGAGCAACAGATTGGAGGGCTTGAACATGTCGTGAATCTCGAAGATGTTTCATTATCTGTAGTAGCAACTCGTTCGGAATAGCTAGGAGGGACATGGTAGGCGATAGTAGATTCTCTTGCTCGTCTCTTTCAAGTCTTACGTATAAGTGCCCGAATCATCAAGGGAGCTTGAAGATGAGGAACGAGGTGAAGTGGAGGTGGCAACGGGTAAAGAGGCAGCTAACTTACATGTATGTAAATAAGACAAACAGCTGTCAAGAACCCCGCCCCATCTGATCCGGGCCGATTCGTTAGCAGAGGACTCTTAAGCTGGGATCTTAAGCTGGGATCTTAAGCTGGGATCTTAAGCTCGGAGTGTATTTAATTTTTTTTGGGGCGTTTGATCGACCAACGAACGTTAATACATCTTGAAGTTTACCTGCCTACGAATCGTAGGTATTATCCAGCATGTCAGGTTGGTCATCACGATTCGAATCTGCTCCCTTGACAGGAACAACACTAGTTATTTTAGCCACCACTCTGTCCCTCGTTTGGCGCGCCGCCCGGAATATTACTAGTAATAGACAGAGTAGCATCTGCCCAACTGAAGAGCGGGTTCTGATTATAGGGGCATCGAGCGGGCTTGGGCGCGCCGTGGCTAAGCAGTATGCAGCTCGCGGTGCTCATGTGTGCCTTGTTGCACGGCGCGAAGAACCGCTATCAAAACTAGCCCAGGAGTGTGGAGAGAAGTGCTTCTGGATTGTCGCCGACTTCAGCAACGTAGAAGATATGGTGCGAGTAAGGGAGAAAGTAATTGCGGAATGGAGTGGTTTGGATTCCCTTCACGTATGCGCTGGAGTCTCTGCTGTGCAGCCGGTCATGAGTTTGGCCAGCGTAAAACCAGGGGAGGAAAAGGACGCAAACAGTACCGACATACAGAAGGCTTTGGATATTGCTACTCGAACCACTCAGGGAAATGTCTACGGACCCTTTGTTGCGGCGGTGACATTTATCCCCTTGATAACGCGTACCTCAACCTCTCCATCCATTCTATTGGCCTCATCGGTTGCCGCAGTGATACCAGCACCGACACGGGCACTTTATGCTGCTACGAAAGCCTCATCACTGCTCTTATTCCAATCGCTCGCTATTGAACATCCGAAGATTACTTTCACCTTCATCCTGCCGGCGACTATCGAAGGTAACTTCCGCGCTTCTGCCGTCGATGCAGACCCAGCGACCGTTAACGCAGGCCCAAACCAGCGCGGTCTCAAAGTAGATTACGTGGCGAAGAGATGCATCGATGCGATGGATAGAGAAGTGAGAGGCAATGTAGTTGTGCCCTGGTTTCCGTATGGGATTGCGCAATACTTGTACAATCTTTGGCCTTCGCTCATCGAGAAGCAAGCGAGGAGGAAGTACAATTTTTAGAGGTTTGTTACGACAGAAACTTCAATCTTTAATGTTATTTAGTTATTAGTTGTATTGAATTGTTATATTGAAGATACCTGATTAAACAGGTAGGTGCATGTACCGGAGTGACAGAGTGAAGAGTGAATGGATTTAGCAAATCTAAAAAGAAAGCATTAAGGTATCTGATTGGTCTTAATTGAACAATGGAACTCAAAAATACAAAGGTACAGTTACGAAAAATCGGTAACCTTAAGAAAGAAAGGTGGGGTACCTAGTACATGTAGCTCCATACGGCAGAATATTGGCTGATTTCGTACACCGCTTTCGTAATACTTAAGAATTCTGTCCCTCCTGCTGCTTTTGAAATTTTCCTTCTCTTTTTTCCCCATCTTAGTGCACGGGCTTTACGCGTCACAGTGAGGAGCAATCCGAGTGCGTGTTTTTGCTAGTTGAAAACTATTTACTGACCACTCCATCTTGGCTTCGGCCGGGTTGGGAATTTTTGGAACCTCATCTCTTTTCGAGACTTTGCATGTTTTCATTACCATCGGTCCCTGGAGGAGCGAGGCAAGGAAAAATTGCGATCTGAGATATATTGACTTGGATACCATTGGTAGGTGTTCAGCATGGCGGAGAGCAGTAGGCATAAAGTCCTTTGGGAGGTAGACAAGGCATTTAATAGTGCCCAATAAAATATATGTACACACACGCGCGTAGCTTAAATCTAATACCTACCGCGAATCTGAATATTACGCTGCGGCTTGCCTAATCACCTTGGAGCCTCAAGCCTATGGTACCTAAGGAGGCTTTATCGGTATTTCTGCTGCATCTGAGCTACTCAGACGGATTCGTGTGGCTGCCTGCAATAACGCGGCGTGCCATAGCTGGGTTTTGATCCGAGTCCCGCGTAGATCTCGGGTCCTACGACTTCAATAACCCTCCGTCGCTGTAGATGCCAGTAGCGATGCTATACCTCATTCTAAATATCAATCTAAGTATCAATCTGCCTGGCAGCGCGTCAATCCGTAGGGAGCCGTGGATCATAAACCTCGTATCCTTCGTCTTCCGTATCGCTTTCGGCACTTAAATCTTTTGGTATAGCTTTCTCGTCTTTATTGGCACTCATATTCGTATCCGGTTCTTTTGTCTTGATATTCTCGTCGTCCGCCGTTCCACCGATAGGCGTGAAGGCGCTCTTAAAACCAGACTTTTTGAAGCCTCCCTTCTTAAATCCACCACCGCCGCCACCGCTACCGCCAGTTCCGATCGGATTAGAATCGCCGCCGAGCTTGATGCTGATGAGACCGTCTGCTTTAGCTTCGGCTTTTCTCGCGCGTGCCCCCGCCGTCGGATCCTTAACCATCTGCTTCATATCTTTCATGCGCTGACGGTGGCTATGGTCATAACTCCCCAGGTGAGCTTCATAGTCGTTCATGCGCGAGTAACCTTTAGAACAGAGCTCGCAGTAGAAGGACTGTAGGGCGGCGCGCGCTGAGGAGGTCTGCGCTGGCGGGAGAGTCTGATGTCGCTATATATTTCGAACTGTAAGTTATCTGGCTGCGAGTTACGATGTTAGATATGAAGCTAGAATAGCATACTCACAGGAGGCATGGTGGCATGTATTGTGGTTGGTTGTGTATAAAGATGTAGATGGGAAGTTTAGAAGTTGAGCAAGCTCCAAGCTTTACTACCAGGAGGTATGTAGGTACCTATGTAGGTAGGTAATGTACCTAAAGCAAGCTATCGCGGGGCAGATGCCATACATGATGTATAGCATGTGTTAGGTACCTAAACTTTAGGTACCTAAGCCCAAGCACCTTCTCATTCGCCCACCTGCACGACTAATAATAAGGTATCAAGTCTTTTTTTGGGCCACAACGAACAACTCAAAAAATCTCTACAAATACAAACTCCAATTCCAACATCAGCTCCCAAATTCGAAATACCGAGGTACCTAATACTTTTAACAGTAAAGATCGCGACTGCAAGGAATGAAGTTCAACCACTCATGGCGTCCGATCATCGTACCTTAAATCCAAAGGCTTCGCAAGAGACGTTAATATCTCTGCTCCATCTGGATCCTTCGCCTATAGACAATGCGTCCCTCTATGAAAAAGATCTTCCACCTCTACCTGAGGAAGATCAAGAGTCTTCGAGTTATAGTACGAGACATACACCGGCCAGCTCAACTTCTACCTTAGGTCTCAGCGGCAGCGGTCATGGCCCGATATATTATTGTACGATTTCAAGATTTCAAGATTTCAAGATTTCAAGATTTCAAGATTTCAATTCTTTTACTCGGACCAATAGGATCGAAAGCTTTACTAACCATAAATATACACCTCCAGTATCACGAATCCAACGCTATTCTTCCTATACATTTTCCTTCTTCGCCGGCCTCCATCTTGCCAACACCGCCGTGTTCCCTCTGGTTTACCAATCTGTTCCCTACTCCGAACCCTTTCTTCTCATGGCTCGTGAGCTCTATCAGACCCCTTTCACCGAGCCTCTACTGGTCGCCCTCCCCGTCGTTGCCCACGTCACATCAGGTATTGCCATACGCCTACTGCGCCGACGCCAAAACCTAAAGCGGTACGGCGGCGAGACCCCGGGTATGTGGGCTTTACATCACTCAAAGTCACCCAACCAGAAGCACAGTATTAAGATATGGCCGCCCTTGACTTATATTTCGGTTTCTGGGTATATCTTCGTTGGACTTCTTGCCTCGCACGTAGGCATGAACCGTATCTTACCTCTCGTCGTTGATGGTGATAGCTCCAACATTGGGCTGCGATTTGTATCACATGGCTTCGCTCGACACCCGCTACCGCCCTGGATAGCATATTCGCTACTAATATCCGTCGGAGTAGGTCATATGGTTTGGGGCTGGGCTAAGTGGTTAAATCTCACGCCGCCTGCCAACTGGAAGAAGATAACTTTTGATAAGCAGCTACGAAAGAGGCGACGGCGCGCTTGGTGGGGTATCCAGGCCGTCTCCGTCGCACTTGCGGCGCTTTGGGCTGCTGGGGGCCTGGGGATCGTGGCAAGGGCCGGACCCGCCGAGGGCTGGCTTGCTACCGTCTATGATAATATCTACGTCGCCGTAGGCCACTGACCAAAGAATTTCAGGTATGTGTATATATGTTTTTGCATATTGAACAGCATCGACATTAGCGATTATCCGGAGTTAGGACTGTTCAAGAATCAAGTGTGCGTAGCCCTGACTTCTATCAAGACCGTTTGTGACAAAACTCGATCTACTTATTTCCGATGGAACGTAGGAATAAGATGGTATGATGTCTATAGACAGTTTCATTTCAGACAATGGTGCATTAACATCATATACGCACCTATCGTCGACAGTGCTGCTGCGGTGATTCGTGGCGGTTCGATAGGTAACACAATACAATTCCAGGTTTGTTTGCTTCCTGATTTTTCTGTTTCTGTATTTTCTTTATCCCGCCAAATCCGTCGGATACTCGAGGCCAATTATCAACTCATCTACCATCTTCTCATACTATCCTTTTACAATTATGTCTTGGTGAAAATTGGCCTTATCTAGTTCTAAGGCATGTTCTTCATATCACATAATACGTTCCCCTCCTCCAATGTTCGCCCTTGCAAGGTCTTGAGGTTAGCGAGCACGACTAAAATAGAACAATTACGCCTTTCTTAACTTTCTACATATCGAATAGAGGCTCTCCCGTATCGAGATCCGGATACGGATAGAGCAAAAGTTCAGCAGTACACACTCTGGTTAATGTTGTCACCCATTGTGACATCGGACTGGACTATCAAAGTTATTGCATGAACCTCCAACATTAGACAAGATGTGCACAGACTTAATTCTCTATGCAACTTGTCCCTCGTGCTGGAGGATTTTGACTGGTCAAGCCATCTACCAACGGGCTTGCAAAGAAGCCATGGATGCTGGTCGCGCGATAAGCAACTTCACCGTACCCTACAGCAAATGCTCCGGCGGCCTGCATCAAGAGAGGCGGGCTAGGATTGCGGCTGAGCCGTGCGGGTTTTGCCGCTGGCAAATGTGGGTGAAAGTACGGCAAAGCCTGATAAGTCGGAATGTCTAGAATCCTAATACTGGGAGAGGAAGACGCGACGCAACCTTGCAGGCACTTTCGACATTTGCTTGGTTAAGCAAGTGGGTAGAATACTCGCCTATGGTTCATATGGGAGGATAGGAAGGGTCAAGCGGGAAATGACCGAAAGAAGATAGGGGAAAGCAAGAGACGGTGGATGAATGAGAGAGACAACATATTGTACGCGAGACGTTATATTAATACAAAGACGCCAAAGGGAGTACGGACTACGAGGGCAGAGGGCGTTGATTCAACATAGACTATGGCATAAACCATCGTCGCTTACAACGTCTAGCTAGCAATACTTTGTACTGTATTCTAACGACCTCGAGCTATGATAGAAACTCTACCCTCATGTCTTTTCTAAAGTTCACCCTCATCTCGTCTCATCTTTCTTCTGTCTCCATGAAGCGGCGAATTTCCACTGGATGGCCACGCCCGATAGCGCAACAACTTGAACGATAGCACATATCGTAAACGCCAAACCGACACCAATGCCGTTTACCATGGGCATTATAAAGCTTGTCCCACCGGCCGCGAATAAGCACCTGGCGAGGTTCAAACTTGCGCTAGCAGCGGCGCTACGGTCGGAGAAGATGTCGACGAGGTAAGTCATAACCACAGACTGCGTAGATACGGCAGTCCAGCCAGTGATGAAAGTGGAAACGATGGGGACAGCGATATGGACGCGATCGGGATACTGAATGGTCCAGCCAAAGAGAACGATGGACAGACACTGAGCTAGGGAGAAGACAGGTATGAGTCGGAGGCGAGCCTTTTCAAGAGGGAAGTGGTCTTCTATATATGCCGTAGATCTTATTTGTCCATCGCCTGTTTCAGAATCAGTTTGAACTTCGTATTGAGCCTTGACTCGACGATAATCAGTGTCCAGAATCTTGCCCGTGACAAGCGTTCCGATCATAGACCCCGCCCCATTTGCAATAAACGTCAGGCCGATCTGGGTCTCACCTAGGTCGTAGCGATCTTGAAAGAGAGATGACATAGCGGTGATGCTCATCTGCCAAACAGCGTAGTAGATGGCAAGGTATATGATAATGGGCGCTGCATGTTTACTGATGAGAATGCGTAATGGCCCCGTGACATCGATATGCTTTCTTGCTGCAGGCTCTGACGAAGCTGCTTCTGGATTCCATCTTACTTTGGTGAGTTTTTGGTAAATTCGTAAGGGATATGTAGCAATTGGGTTCGACGGCTTCCTGCTACCGTTTGCAACAATCGACCTCAGTGTTTCAGGAAGAAGAACGGTCAACAGTATTAGGAAGATACCACTGTAGATTGCCAGAAACACGAAGATTGATCTCCATCCTAACGATCCTGCCAGAGCGCCTCCAATGACTGGTCCGACTGCAACGGGAACGAGCAACCCGGCCTGAAAAATTCCCATGAAGCCACCGCGTTCAGCGCGAGTGGTAATATCACCAATCACACCGGATCCTATCGCAATAGTGCTTGCGCTGCCGGTACTTTGCAAACATCTTAGCACTATAAGAGTCGCGTAGCTCTTCGTCACTGCTAAGCCGATACATGCGCCTAGAAACACCAGAAAAGTAAAGACGTATGCAATTTTGCGCCCCTTGACGTCTGAGATGGGGCCCCAGAGGCTGGGCGCTAAACCTTGGAAAATAAGATATGACGTTACTGTAAGGTTGACAAGCTCTATCGAAATTTTCAGGTCATGGGCAATGGTAGGAAGTGCGGGAAAATAGATATTTGACGCAAACCCGGAAACTGGTTCGTGTGAGCTGTTCAAGATCATAATAGTGTTATTGATCGTTCACTTACAGGTTGCTGCGGTCGAAACAACAAGCACGATTAGAGCTTTCTGCTGCTTGTCGAAGATGCTATATGGCTCCTCCGGGGGTGGTGATGCCGGTGGCGTATTTAGTAACACTTCCTGCCGTTCTTCAGATGCCATGATCTATTGCCGTTCTTACTACTCGGAGTTCCAATTGTAGTGGTGAGATGTTAGTGGCCACAGATTGGAATGTCTTTCATATATCCAATTCCGAGCGGAGTTGAGCACCGGCAGTGTATGGAGTTGAGACTTTAGAGCCGGATTAACAACCAATCATAGCTCACTCCATCCGAAACTCCGCCGGTCCCCCGGACTTGAGCTGGGCAGCCCCCGGATCCGAAGCGAATAATACGATCGACAATTAGATGCGGTAGGTGAGTATCGATAGAGGATATGCTGCTTTTGTCGTTATTCAGTCGACTGTCCCTGGGACCTACAGCCATCTTTAACAATGGCGCCTGACCAACATTCTCCCGAGGGTGTTTTGAACTTCGGCAAGAATTACGCTGTACTCAACCTTGACTTGATGACGGTTCTCATAGATGCCGTTAAAAATACCACCGAAGGACGGGCATTTATTTCTAGCTGTGCGCGTTGGAATGACGCTGTTCACAAAAAAGACCTGCGCCCCCCGACCATCCTTACGACTCTCTTCTTTAAACCAGGAGAGCCCGAGCTAGCACAAGACGCTTCATTCGGTAAGCTCATCCGAGACTTCGGTTCCTTCGCCGCTGGATCTTCTGCAGTGCAGATAGCATCCAATTTTGAGGTCGATAGCAAAGACGTCGTACTTCAGAAAACAAGGTGGTATGCCGGCTCAGGAAATAGCCTAGAGCAGATTTTGAAGGCACGAAATATTGACACCGTCGTCATAGTATGTGACCTAGGCCTTTCTTCCTCTTTTTTTTTTTTTTCTCACGCGGGTTAACAAGAACTTCTATAGTCTGGTTTGAGCCTCTCTGGGGTCGTAATGAGCACGGTTTATCGATTGTTTGACCTGGATTATAATATTTATGTTATCTCGGATAATGTGTTAGAACTGCCGCTGGACCAGTATCAAAAATACTCTCAGGTCGTGCTAGGGAGCCTTTTGCCGAGAATGAACTTGCGGGTAATTTCCATCGACGAGGCTTTGGGGGGATTGGAGCAATCTTAGTTAGGCTGTCTTCTTACGTTCCTATGATCGACCAAGATCGTGACATTGGATATAGGATATATGCAGATTAGGTAGTAATAGTAAGGTCAACCGCCGTGTGTGCAACTAGTTACTGCATAGAGCATTGTGCCAAATTCGTCGACATTTTCTAGCCAGCGGTCTACTCTATTGCGTCTCTCGAGAAGACCAGGCTCGTCTAGCCCTGCAGGAATCGGCCAGAGTTCGTCAATACGAAAGGTTTCCTCTGGCCAATCTGCTAAGTATATGTTATATGCTGTTTCCCAGTCGCGTCGAATCTGTGCCCTCCATAAAGATTTGTCTGCTGAGGCGGGTAGTCCTCGCAGTTCAGTGCCGAGAAAGGTCTGAAGACCGTCTTGTGTGGAAAGAACACTGTCGAAAAGGTACATCGTGAACAATGCCCGCCGCTTTGCCTCGACTACAATCCAAGCTTCCCATCGCGGTCGAGCACGCTGTTCTTCGGCTATGCACATAAGCCCGTTCCGGCTACTCGAACACGCAAGCTCTTGGAGATTCATCATCGCTTGTCGAAGGAAGGGGCCTGAAACTTGGTTAAGCTTGAAGAACAAGACCATGGAGTAGATCAGATATGCCTGGAAAGCCGCTAATAGAGTGAAATCGTCGTATGCACCCTGCTGCTCATAAAGATTGTTCATCTCCCGTTGTAATACATCGGCGGCAACACTCTCACTGCCTGGCAATGGATTCTCGCAGATGCGAACCAAACTTAAGCAGGTAGAAAGCGGCGGCCTTGTCGACGCGACCGAAATTTGGGAAGGGTGTACAAATGGGGGCACACCGCGTCCGCGTATGGCAACGGTTGCATAAGACTTAAGAAGTCTATAGATAAAAGCCGTAATGGAAGCAGGATATTCTTTAACCTTTTGGCCGGGAATGGGAATATAGGTGTTCAGCCAACGATTGCTAATACCATCTACATCAATAGGGCTGAATAGTTCCAGGCTTGAAAAGTCAAGTACTTCGGAACTCCCAGATGCACGGCCGGTGATGTTTAATATCGACTCGTCCGGGGTATAGCTTGTAACGAATGTAGCCGAGGAAGTATTAGTTGGGCTCATGCTACCAGATGCCTGCGTCAACCCAACAGCCAGACTCTGAGAAGTTGGACTCTGAGGGTCCGGTCTAGTTGATATCTCAGGCCCGGAGCTTGCTGCGGATAGAATGCTGGGGTCGGAAATGGAGTTGTATAAACCAGATTCAGTGCTGTCGCCTGTATTGACGCCTGTATTGTCGCCTACGTCCCGTGAGGAGGCTCTAGAAAGTAAGGTCTGCGGATAAGAACAGGATAGACCTCGTAAGGCGCATCTAGCACAACATCCCGCCTTGCGATCACATTTTGCCTTTGCAGTAGAGCATGGCTGACAAGCCTTTTGTCGGGAAGTAGAATATCTCGTTGCTTTCATAACGAATTATGAATTATTTGCATGTCGAGGTGTCCCCGTTGCGCGGTGAAAGGGTAATGTAATATCATATCAGATTAGTCAGCACTGTCATGTGACCTGAAATCTCTGATTTCCCTATAATTACTTGCGTTCCACGTGTTTTCACGATTTTACACTTTTATAATATAGTTATAATATTATATAATAAAATTATTAGTAATTATATTAATATTGTATTAATTATGCGTATTAATTGTTTAATAATTAAAAGTTTTATATGTTTATAAATTTAATTTAAATTAAAACGGTGTCATTTAATTATAATATGTATAAAGTAATAATAAATTTAATAATATTATTATTAAAAGTTATTTATTTTATTAATAAAATTATTAAAAAAATAATATTTTTTATTTATATTATTATTAAAAATATTATTTATTATTTATATTATTATATTTAAATAAAATTTATTATTAAGTTATAAGTTATTAAAATTAAATTAATTTTAAAAAATTTAATTAAATTTTTATTTTAAATTTTATTTTAAATTTTATTTTAAATTAATTAATAATTAATAATAATATTAATAAAAGTAAATTTTTTATATTTAACCAAATAAAATGTAAAGTAATAAATTTATTTATTTATTTTATATTTATTTAAAGTATTAAACGGTATTATTATTAATAAATGTGTTAATTTTTACAATTAATTCGTTTTTAAAAATGTTTAAAAAACTTTTAAAGTTATTTTTTACATATGTTATAATATTTTAAATATATGGTTTATAAAACTGCCAAACATAATAAACGCTTTTAAGGTATATTATAATAAATTAATAAGTTTTTTAATATTTAATATTATTTACGGATTATTAAACGGGATAATTTTTAACAATTAATATAACGATATATATAATAACTTTTATTAATTTATATAATAATTTGTTTAATAATTTATTTAATAAATTATTTACTTAAATTAAACTTTTTTAAAAAAGTAATATATAAAATTAAAACTTTTAATAAATTATATTTAAATATAAAACGATGTTGTTAAATGTTTAAAAGGTGAAAATTAAAGATAATATATGTTAATTATTTTATTTTTACAGTTTAATAAAACATTTTTATACAATTTAATAAAGTTATTTTTTATTTTATATAATTATATATTTTAATATATATATAATTGGCGTATATAATATAACCGTTTTTTTATATTTTATTATGGTAAATTATAAAATTATATTTTAAGGTTTATTAAATTATTTTATAATTTAATTATATAATTATTAAATTATATATTAATTTATTTATTAAATTATTTTATTATTTAATTTATAAATTATTTAATAAGTTATATATTAACGTATATTTATAAAATTTAAATTTTATATATATATATACGTTATTTTTAACGAAAATAATTTTATATACGGGAATTTTAAAAGGTTAAAAGAGAAATTGCAAGATATTAAGTAATACCGGATTATTAAATTTATTTAAAATTTTTAACCGAAAATTATTAAGTTTGGGAAAACCGAAAATACGGACGTGTTAAAGTTAAATTTAAAATTGTAAACAAATAATGTAAAAAAAAAGTGAAGTAATAATTATATTATTAAAAATTGATTATTTTTATACGATTATAATTTGTTTTTATTTAGTTAATTTTAAAAATTTATTATTATTAATAACTTTATTTATAATAACAATATATATTAAAACGTTAAACAATTTTAACACTTTATTTAATATTAAAATTTTATGTAAAATAAAAATGTTTTTAAAAAGATGTATAAATTAAATAATTGTTAAAATAACAAAAATTTAATTATTTTATAAATTATTTTAATAAAATTTGGTTATTTAAAAGTAAAATAATTTAAAATAAAACTTATAATAATATTAAAATTAAACTTAAAAAAGTTATATTAATTTAATAATAAAAGTATATAATAATATTAATAAATTTAAGATTTAAACTAGTTATTTAAAAATTATATATATTTACGATTAATAAAATATTAAGTATATATTTAAAATTATAAGAATTAAATAATAAATTATAATTTTTAAATATTAAAATTAAAAACTATAAAAAAAGCGGTTAATTTGGTTAAATTAATCCGTTAAATTAACAAGATTATTAACTTTTAAAATTTTTAATATAAGTTTTTATAATAACAATATTAAGATAATTTTAATTATTAATAAAATCTTTAAATTTATTAAATACGTAACGGTAATTACACGTTTTAATATCGTTTACGTAACCTTAAAATCGTTAAAAATTTAATAATAACTTTAGTTTAAAATATTACAAAACAATGATTTATTTAAGGTTATAAAACTTTATTTAAACTTATTAATAAAACTTTATTTAAAATTATTATTAAAACTTTATTTAAACTTTTTAATAATATTTTATTTAAGGTTTTTAACAAGGTTTATTTAAAATTATTAATAAAGTGTTATATATTAATTAATAATATTTTATAATATTATAAAATATTTTATTTAAAGCTTTTAACAAAACTTTATTTAAGGTTATTAATAAAGTTTTATTTATGTTTATTAAAAAAACTTTATTTAAAATTATTAATTATATTTCATTTAAAGTTATTAATTAAACTTTATTTAAAACTATTAACAAGGTTTTAATTACCGATAATCTTACAATTAAAAAACCTTTTAAACATATATATTAAAGTTATTAAAAAGCATAAAAAGTTAAAAAAGGCCATTTTTACATATACCACACGGTTAATTTAAAACTTTTGTCGATTTAAAACTTAAATTAATTTAAAATTTCAATTAATTTAAAAGATTATTAAAAAACTAAAAACTTATATATATAAAAATTATAAATTATAATAATAAATTAAAAAAGTTATATATAATTAAATTACGTTAATTTAAAAAATATGATTAAAAATGGGTAATTAAAAGGTTTTATTATAAAAATTATACGAGAAAATTTAAATTAATTAAAATTAACAAAATTTATAAAACGATTATAAATACAAATATTACGAAATTTTAATAAAAAAATAACTTTAAAATAAAAAATATACATTAAATAATTATTAAAAACTTAAAAAAGCATTTAATAAATTAAAATCAAGTTATTAATAACTTGAAAAATAAGGTTATTTAAATTAAATTAACTTTACGGTTACATTTAAAAAGGTATATTAAATTAATTAACACTATCATATAACTTAAAATCTTTAATTTTTTTGTAATTACTTGCGTTTTATGCGTTTTCACGATTTTACACTTTTATAACATAATTACAATATTACATAATAAAATCATTAATAATTACATTAATATTACATTAATCGTGTATATTAATTGTTTAACATATTACATATCACGGTTTATGTAAATGGCAAATGTATTAATGATAAATGGAGTTTACATTTTACTTTAAAATTATTATTAAATAAATTAATTTATTAAATTAATTAAAAAAAATAAAATATTATTATTTTTTTTTTATAAATACTTAAAATAAATTTAAATATTTAAATAACATGTAATAAATAATTACGTGTTAAAATATATTAAAATACATTTTACACACTTTTTTAAACGTTACCATTAAATAAATTTATAAAATCTTAAAAAGCTTACTTAATTTTATCAGTTAAATTTTTTAAAACTTTTTTTTCCAATTTATTTTTAACATTTACTAATTTCATTTACTTTTTAAATTTTATAAAAAATATATTTATAAATATTTTAATAAAACCATTTATAATTATATTTTTTAATAATATATATTTTATATATATTATACTTTTATATATTTTTTAACATAATTAATAATTATAAATATTTATATATTTTAATTTAATTTATAATTTATTAATATTTTTTTAAATTAATTAAATAATTTAATAATTATTATATTATATAATAATCGTAAAATCATTTAAAAATATTTTTAATTTTTTAATAAATTTAAAAATAAATATAATTTCTTTTATTATTTATAATAAAATTAATAATTTTATTTTTATAATTAATATAATAATTATATTTTATTTATTTATTTACCATTTAATAACTCCGTTAAATAATTTTATTATATATATTTAAAAACTTTTATAATTTATTATATTATTAATAAATAAAACGTTATTTACCACTTTAAATTTATCATTTTTTTTTAATTAAAATTTTAATATTTTAATATAATATAAATATTTAATAACTTTATTCGTTATTTTATAATATTTTAATTTTAAATTTAATAAAAACCGTATTAATTAAAAACATATAAAAATTATATTTAATTTAATAATTATTATAATATATAATATTAAACCAATTTTTTTTTAATATAAATATATAAATTTTAATATTACCTTTTTTTTATATAACAATAATTTTTCTTTAATTATAAAATATAATAAAACTTATTTTATATTTTTTTTTAAATAAATTATTAATTTTATTAAAATAATTAAATTAAAATAACCATATTAATTATTTTATATAATCTTTTAAAATAACAATACTTAAATATTATTAAAAATCTTTTTTTTAATAATACCATAATATTTTTTTAATTAATTAATTATTATTTATATTATTAATTTTTTTTCTTTTTTATATATTAAAATTAAATTATTTATATAAAAAAATAACAATATTTTATTTTTACAATAAATATACAATTTATATAAAATTATTTAAAAACTTAATTATTTTAACTTATTTATAAATTTATTATATTATAAATTTAAAAAATCTTTTATACCATAAATTACTTTTTTTATTTTAAATATTATTTTAAATTTTTTATATTTAAATAACATTTTTATAAATACATTTTTTTTTACTTTAACATTAATAAATATATTAATTATATTAAATTACTTTAACTTTAAATTAAAATATATTATTATAACCATAAAAATTTAAAATAATTTAATTATTAATATTAATATATATATTTCTTTAATATTAATTTTTTATTATTAATTACTTTTAATTATTATT